TTCGTGGAACACAGTTGCGCTCTCCACATGTGGGGGCCGCAGGAGTCTGGGTGTTTGTGGGTGCTCATGTGCTTTTCGTGTGTGTGTGTTTTTTTTTAATGTTTTATTGTGAATTATGTGGTAGTTTACATGGGAGAACATTAGTTTTACATTCATCTTGTCGTGTATCGTTTCATTGCTGTGGTTACAATCCCCTCCATGCATCATTAACCAACCAAAGGGTGTACCCTACAAGCCTGACCCCCGATCGTCAGCACACAGCCCCTCTCCCTCTCTGTGTCTAAAGTCCCCAGCCGCTTCATCTCTCCATGTCATCGTCTTTGCCTCCATGTCTGGCATCACTGTTTCTCTGGGTAGGGTCCCGCTCTCCGCTCTTCTCCCTTGATGGTCCCAGGGACCTCCGCTCCTAGGCTGAAGAGTTAATCACTCTTCTTTTGCTACAAAATGTCTACCTTTACATTTCCAACCTTCACAAGCAGTCCTGATAACAATTATTCACTGTTGTATCACAAGTGACCCATCTGCATTTCATTGCATCAGCCCCGACTAGACAGATTGGATACTACTCAGTGGAGATTCTACCTTCCTCCACACTCTCTGGATCTAGGCTCCCTCTTGAAAGTTTGTAAGCCAGTCACTTCTAGCCTTTGTAGCCCCCCTCCCCCCCCATTTTGGGTAGCCAATGTCCAAGTTGCCCATCCCTGTCTACTCTGTGTGTGGAGGACGTGGGAATGATCCTCGCTGTAAAGGTTTGTTCCCTCTTTTGAGCTACTGCATCTGTAGGTGGAGGTCAAGTTCATCAATTGTATCAGATTACACTTTTTTTACCCTTTTTTCTTCTGGTTGAGTTCTGATCATCCAGTCATTGAAGCCAGGTCAAGTGGGTATTATCTGCAAGTGTGGGTGTTCTTGCGCACGTGCTTTTAAACGCTGCACCTGTCTCTTGCACAGATGCGTACAAGTCACCTCACAGCCCGTGCTACCAGCTACCTCCAGCCGTGCAGCGCCACGCGCCCAGCCCGCTGCTGGCAGCACCTACTCCGCCCGCGCTGCAGAAGCTGCTAGGTGAGGCCTGCTGCCTGAAGGAGAGGGGCCAGGCTGGGCGTCATGTGGGCGAGGGGGAGCAACGGGAGGACACTCTTCTCCAGAACTTGGTTCCCTCTCTCCTCAGAGTCCTTTAAGATACAGTACCTGCAATTCCTGGCGTACACCAAGACCCCACAGTACAAGGCCAACCTGCAGCAGCTGCTGGATCAGGAAAAGGTAAGGCTGGTCCCTGGGGCCATGGGCCCCTCAGCCTGGTTGGCAGCTCCTTTCTAGTTGATTAGGGAGGTGCGCACCCATAGCCCCCTGTGTGGTGGTGGCTGGTCTGGGCCTCATGGGGGCTGAGCAGGAGGACCATCATTGCCATGGGGGGGGGGGCTGTTGTTAAGTGCCATTGAGTCGGTTCTGACCCATAGCAACCCTGAACAGGGTTTCCAAAGCTGTAAATGTTTATGGGAGCAGATAGCCTCATCCTCGTCCCGCGGAACAGCTGGTAGTTTTGAACTGCTGACCTTGTGGTTCGCAACCCGATTCATAACCACTATGATACCAGAGCGTAGCTGTGGGTAGGCCTTATTCCTGAGTCTTGAGGTGACTATGGTGAGCTGGGCCACACTGGGCTGTGTGGTCAGGACCCTCATGTGGCCTCATGGCGCTCTCTGGTCCACAGGAGAAGAATGCCCAGCTTCTGGAGGCTGCACGGCAGCTCCTCAGCCACTGCCAGGCCCAGAAGGAGGAGATCCGGCGGCTCTTCCAGCAGAAGCTGGATGAGGTGGGCCCTGTCCCTTGGCGGCCCTCACCAGCCCTCCCTGTGACAGGTCCTTCATGAGCTGCTGACTTGTGTCTGCTGCGTGTCTTTGTCCCCCAGCTGGGCGTCAAGGCCCTGACCTACAATGACCTGATCCAAGCACAGAAGGAGATCTCAGCGCACAACCAGCAGCTGAAGGAGCAGACAGAGCAGCTGGAGAAGGACAATCGTGCACTGCGGGGCCAGAGCCTTCAGCTGGTGTGTGCCCCGCTTGGGGCGCCGTGTCCCAGAGCCCTTTGCTGTGCTGGTCATTGATACACGCTACACTGCTCCAGATGGGGGAGAGAGGGGGTGTGTCTTGTTCATCCTTCAGAGACAGTAGACTGTAGGAGTGACTCCTCTTCAGGCCAGGGCCTCAGCCTTCAGGAATGGGGTTACCTGCTCTAGGAGCTCTGGCACCACCTGGCTGCCCATTCATTCGTCCCTCCTACCTGCAGCTCAAGGCGCGCTGTGAGGAGCTGAAGCTGGATTGGTCCACCCTGTCCCTAGAGAGACTGCTGAAGGAGAAGCAGGCCCTGAAGAGCCAGATCTCGGAGAAGCAACGTCGGTGCCTGGAGCTGCAGGTAGGCAGCAGCTGTGTGCTGCCCGTGGTGTTCCCAGTGTACTGACTTGTCTGCTGACGTCTGGTTTCAGGGGTTGTCAGGCACATCATAGAACCTGTAAGGACACATATGTCATGAAGTGAGAACATGTTATATAATCTGTAAGAAGAGCCTTCATGACAGAGCTGGCGAGGACAAGGGGGCACGACCCAGGACACACATGTCCTGCTCTGTTCATGGCTCAGAAGGGACCAGGTTGGGGGCCCACCCTGCTAGAGTGCCCTCTGTAACATGAGCAGACAGGCCTATTTGTAGCCGACATCGTACCCCCCCAGCTAGGGTTTAGGGCGTCACCACGTTTCAGTCTGAAACGTGGTGTGCCCTTGGTAACATACGTTGCCTGGCGCACATCACAAAACCACTGTGGTTGATCTGCTGACCGCGGCGGCACTGCCTGCCTGCCTGCCTGCCTGTCTGCGCCCAGCACCGCCCACCTTGCACCGCCCAGCCCTGCCCAGCCCACCTTGCCTGTGCTCACCTAGCCTGCCTTGCCCCGCTTGCTTGCTCACCTCGTCTCGCCCCGCCGCGTCCTCCAGATCAGCATCGTGGAGCTGGAGAAGAGCCAGCGGCAGCAGGAGCTCCTACAGCTCAAGTCCTACGTGCCTGCTGATGACACGCTGGTTGCGCACCTGCGTGGGAAGGGCGCGCAGAGCCGTGAGCCTGAGCCCGAGCCTGGCCGCCTGCACCTGGAGCTGGACTGCACCAAGTTCTCGTTGCCTCACTTCAGCAGCCTGAGCCCGGAGCTGTCCATCAACGGCCACGTGACCAGTTACGAGCTGTACAATGCACTCAGCCGGCCCTCCTCTAAGCAAAACACCCCGCAGTATCTCGACCAGGACGTGGTGCCCTGCACACCCAGCCACGGGGGCCGACCCCGCCCGGACAAGCTGTCCGGCCCGACCCTGCCCGACTACACACGCCTCTCCCCAGCCAAGATTGTGCTGCGGCGGCATCTGAGCCAGGACCCTGCTGCTAGCACGAAGCCGGCTGCCGGCGAATTGCACCCACGGTGAGTGTGGGCAGGCCCAGGGTGTTCCCTCGCTCTGGGGCCTCGGCCCTGGGCCCCTTGTGATTAGCATCTCGTTCCAGTGCGGATCACGTCAAGGAGAATGGTCTCAGCTGCCAGAGCCCCGGCATCTCCAACGGCATCAAGCTGAGCCCGCAGGAGCCTCGGCCCTTGTCCCCCGTAGCCCTGCAGATGACCACAGTGGAGAAGAACACTGAGAAGGTACAGGCTGTCCTGAGTCGGGGGCCATGGACGGAGGGGTGGCACCCAGGGAGGGTTCTGACAGGGTGGGTGGGGCTGGTGACAGGACAGAGGGGTCCCTCTCTACATGCCGGCTGTGGCAGGAGGAAGGGCCTGGGGTGTACTGTGGCGTGACTGCCGGGCAGTCTGTGATGGTGAGCTCTGTGCAGGGCCTGAAGGAGCGTCCGTACGGCAGCGGAGGTGAGACCATCACCAGCCTGCCGGTCAGCATTCCCCTCAGCACTGTCCAGCCCAATAAGCTCCCGGTCAGCATCCCTCTCGCTAGTGTGGTATTGCCCAGCCGTGCGGAGCGAGCGGTGAGTGCCTGCCCCTCCCTGCAGACCTTCCTTCTGGGCTCCCAGGTCCCTGGACCCACACCATCCACTTCCTTGCTTTCCTTGTGTGGGGTTGATGAATGGGGTCTGCATGCTGGCAGCCTGCTGCATGCTAGTGGGCGAGTTATAGCTGCGTGGCCACTACTGTCGCCCAGGCTCGGAGCTCTGCGCCACTCAGTGTTTTCCCACCCTCCTGGTGAGGGCTTTCTGTACCATCCAGACCCACATTTTAGCCCCCTGGCACCATCCCACCCAGGCCAATGTTCTCTGCCGTCCTGCCCCCCATTCTGCTCATTCCCTGCCCCTTAGGCCTGCCTCAGCTGTACCTCGGCCTGTTTTGATGCCACTATTCCCACTTTCTGACCCTCGAACAGCTCCTAGAAGGCCTTACTTGAGGTGGGCCAAAGATGCCTCTGTCCTTGTCTTCAGACTCTTGGATCCCTACCTTTCCCACAACCACCCCAGTCCCCTGCCTCAGCTCCTATCTGAGGCTGCCGTCCTCAGCCCCTCACTTGGCGCTGCGGTGTGCCATTGTTGTGGGTCCTGTGTTTTCCCCTCAGAGGAGCACGCCCAGCCCTGTACACCAGAGCCGAGACTCCGCCCTTGACAAGCAGCTCAGCGCTCACCCCCACAGCGGTCCAGGCAGTGCAGCTGGAGGCCGAGGCCTGGCCCTGTCTGCCGCAGGTACGGCCACCCCGCCCGTGCCCCAGGGTCTGGGTCCTCCAGGCTCACCAACATGGGAAGCCCAACCCCACTGGGGGTGCCCCCACCCCCGCCTCTCCAGCTGTGAGACCCTTCTGCTCACTGGAAGTCTGGTGTTGGTGGGGGTCACACATATAGGAGACCCTTGGACAATACAAGACTGGGGTTAGTGGGTTTAAAATCTACACGTGCCTGTGGACTCCCCAGAAACATCACTGCTCCTAGCTTGCTGGTGGTGAGGAGCCCGGTAACAGTTGTTCACATGCATGTCATGCCACACCTCGAGCATGGAGGCTTTCCTTCTGCTGGCATGGCTATGGTGGCTACTTTACCTGTGTCTCCACACTGCTGCAGATTTCAGTCTCTGGCTGTCTGTCCTCAGTCCCTGGGAGCCCTTCCAGCACACCCTTCACGTGGGTCGTGTGGTGGGGGTTCAGGCATGCAGTATCGTCCTAACCAGGACCCAAAACCCAAGAACCGAGAGACAGACGCCTTCCGTGTCATAAAGGCATTTAATAGAAAATCCATCTGTCTTATGGGGCCAAGATCTTCACACCCTTATTGTTCAAGGTTCACTGGACTCAGCTCACCTGTAGATCTTAGATCATTTGTTTACAAACTAGGTGAGGCGGGCTGGGGCCCACTTCCCGTGTGGTGAGGCTGGTGAGGCTGTTGGCCGCTCTCCATCTGTCCCTCCCAGCCCTGCCTGCTGCAGTGGGACCCTAGGGTTAGTGATTTCACTAGCCAATCTTCAGAGCCCATCCCGTGCCTGGGGCTGCAGGCTGAATGGCTCCTGGGAGGCCTGCAGCTCTCCTGGGTCCTCCTTTGGCCAGCAGCCCCCGCCCCACAGAGCCAACATGTGTCCCCTCCTGCAGGTTTCTCCTATGCTGGCTCGATGGCTATCAGCGGGGCCCTAGGGGGCAGCCCTGCTCCCCACGCCCCCGGGGCCGAGCCACCTACTCTGGATGACTCCTCAGGCGCCGGCAGCCTCTTTGCTCCCATGAGTTCGCGCAGTGCTGGCCCAGCCTCCCCCGCTGCCCACCAGCTCTCAGCAAGTCCCCGGCTCGGCGCAGTCTCCCTGGGCACTGTCTCTGACGCTGTTGGCAGGAGTGATCTGAGCTGTGACACAGGTTTCTCCGACCCCGAGAGTGAGGCCAAGCGTAGGGTCCTCTTCACCGTAGCGGCTGGCACAGGTGGCGCCCGGCCCTCCCCCTCCAGCAGGCATAGTCCCCTGGCCACCAGTGCCCGTGGGGACAGTGGGCAAGGCCACGGGCAGGACAGCCGGAAGCGGGGCCGAAGGAAGCGCTCGTCTACGGGCCCCACCAACCTGAGCTCTGGTGTGTCCCCCAAGCGCCGAGCCCCGCCGTCAGTCGCTGGGCTCTTCACACAGTCCTCAGGGTCTCCACTGAACCTCAATTCCATGGTGAGGGCCGTGGGAGCAGACGGGTGTAGGGAAGATGATCTGATCCATCCCGTGACCTACCCTGAGCCGCCATCTGACCTTGTCCTGTAGGTCAACAACATCAACCAGCCGCTGGAGATCACGGCCATCTCATCCCCTGAGCACTCCCTGAAGAGCTCGCCTGCCCCCTGCCAGGACCCTGACCAGCCCCCTGTGCTCAAGAAGGAGAGACCGCTGGGCCAGGGCAGTGGGGTCCACTACTCTCCGCTGACATCGGACGAGGAGCCGGGCTCTGAGGATGAGCCTGGCAGTGCTAGGTGAGCACGCCAGGGAGGAGCCCCAGAGCAGACGGTTCCCAAACTCCATCTTCATGCTAGCTAGATGGCAAAGGCTCCAAGGCCAGCACGTGAGAGTGCTTCCTGCCTCACCTGGGAACCTGTGCAGTGCTTGTCCAGTAGCTCTGTAGGGTGAACTGCCCCACCACACTTCTCCCTGCACAGTCCCTGCCACGGGACGGTTCCCATGAGCACGTCCTAGTCACCACGGTGTCCAGCCACTGGCTGCCACATACCCACTTGTCTTTGGACTGGCCTGTTGTGGACATTTCAGAGAAGACGGGACCAGATGTCATGTAGTTTATTTCAGTCAGTGTAATGTTTTCAGGGTTCATCCATGTTGGAGCATGTGTGAAATCGAGCCAGAGTCCTGTGTGTGTCCATCATCGTGGGGGGACATGGGCTGTCTCCCCTGGGGGCTCCTGCTGGGTGAGATCCTAGCAGTGCAGTTGCTAAGTCACATCGTAATGATGGTGCAGACCTTCAATCACGGATCATCTTGTTTTCTTTTCTTAGAATTGAAAGGAAAATTGCAACAATCTCCTTAGAAAGTAAATCTCCTCCCAAAACCTTGGAAAACGGTGAGTAACAGGGTCCCAGGCAACCTGCTCCCTTGGGGACTTCCAGGCCCCCCCCAAGATCTGTGCCTCAGCCATTTTTGCCCACGCACTCCCATGTGCTGACCAGCCAGAGAGGCCCTGCCCAGGGCTTCTGGACTCATTTCTCGTTTTTCATGGCCCATGGACTCCTCACCCTGTGTTCCCCAACCAGCAGCCATTTCCAGGGGGGCTGTGCGGGGGGGGGGCCTGTCTCCATGTTCCACCTACTTTTTCTGTGTGTGGTGGGTGATGTCATGACCCAGGAGCCCAGGAGTCTGTTGTAGGCAACAGTCTGCCTCCCACCTTCAGTGCCTTTTCACCGGGTCAGGTCGCGTCTCAGCCCTAATGTTTGTCAGTGCCCACACTGTGCTCTGCTGTCCCACACTTGTCCCCTGAGTCATCTGCCCTTGACGATTCCTGTGCTGGCTAGGGCCTCATCCCTGTACCCTCCCTCCCACCAGGTGGTGGCCTGGCCAGCAGGAAGCCGGCACCAGCCGGTGAGCCTGTCAACAACAGCAAGTGGAAAGCCACCTTCTCGCCCATTTCTGACCTTGGCTTGGCTAAGTCCGCAGACAGCCCCCTGCAAGCTGCCTCCTCACTCAGCCAGAACTCTCTGTTTGCGTTCCGGTCGGTTCTGGAGGAGCCAGGCGCCACCGATGGCAAAGGGGCCGCGCACCCCAGGAAAGGCTTCCAAGGCTCCCTGGTTGGGGTGGACGGGCCCAGCCCGAGCACTAACACCCCCAACGGGTTCACCCTGGGCGGGTCTCTGACCACGGAGCTGGCTTTACACAGCTTCAGTGAGGGTTCTCCCCTGGCTCACAAGGCCCCGGAGGCTGCAGGGCTGAGCTTCCCCTCCCAGCGGGGCAAGGAGACTGGTGCCCCAGAGGCCAACCCCTTCCTGAGCAAGCGGCCATTGGATGGACTGGGTGGCCTGAAGGCTGAGGTCAGCAAGGCCCGCGAGGCCAGCGAGCTGGGCACTCCATCTGAGAAGTCTGTGCAGCCGCCTGGCGGGAAGATGGGCCGAGGCCGGGACCGAGAACTCGACTTCAGCCACGGCCACAACCTTTTCATCTCGGCCGCTGCCGTGCCGCCTGGGGGCCTCCTCAGTGGCCCTGGCCTGACCCCAGCTGCATCCTCTGCCCAGACACACCGCCCTTTCCTGGGCACCTTTGCCCCCGGCGCACAGTTTGCCTTGGGTCCCATGTCCCTGCAGGCCAACCTGGGCTCAGTGACAGGCTCGTCTGTGCTGCAGTCGTTGTTCAGTGCTGTGCCGGCCGCCGCTGGCCTGGTACATGTGTCATCAGCAGCCACCAGGCTCACCAACTCACACGCCATGGGCACCTTCTCTTCCGGAGTCGCGGGCGGAACTGTCGGAGGTAGGCGCGGCACTCTTTTTCGCCGCCGGCGTCTCGTGGTCGGCCCCTGGCCTTGGGACCCCCAGCGCCGTCTTCCGGATCCCCTCGGACGGCAGATGTAACTACCAGTCGCTCCGATGCCCCAGCCTCCATGTGGGGACAGGCGGGGCTGCGTCCGCCCGCAACTCTGTCCTCTGCTGGAGACCCGAGGGGCTGGAAGCTGAGGTGGACAGCTGAGCTAAGCTGCTCATAGCTACGCGCACCATGCCCTCCCCGCGGAGGGGCGCTGTGGGAGGGCCTTGAGAGTCTACCAAGCGCCGGGGGTTTGAGGGGGGAGTGGAGTGGGCGGGAGAGAAACGTGGTACCGGGAGCCTTCGTCCTGGCCAGGTAAGTGCCCTGTGGCTGCCGCTTGCTGCTCTATCCGCACAGGTGCCGCCCGGCCGCCGGCCACGCCCTGCTGCTGCGTGTGTCTGTGCGCGCCTCCCTCCGCTTGGTGACCTGCCGCCTGGTGAAGCTGCGTTTCTCTCTCCTGTCTGCAGGTGTCTTTAACCACGCGGTGCCTGCTGCGTCTTCGCATCCGCTCGGAGCCAGTTTCGGCAGCGGGGCTGTCTGTGGCAGCGCCACGCTGAGCGTAGCCCCGCTGCAAGCGGTGGCCAGCACCTCCGCCGCTTCCTTTCAGGCCCCGACTGTGGTCGAGACCCGGCCACCCCCTTTGCCTCCTGCTCAGCACCTGGGCCGGGCCCCTCCTCCCCCCCCTCCTCCTGCGCAGCCCGGCCTCCCGCCCCCTCCGCCTAACTCCGCCTTGCCTCCTCCCCCGCCGCTGCTGGCGCCTAACTCCGAGCCTGTGTTTCTGCAGAGCCTAACGGCCCTCCCCGCTAACCACGCTTTCTTGCCCCCTGCCTCGGCCGCTTCCCTGCCGCCTGCTAATGCCTCTTTGTCTATCAAGCTCGCCGCCCTGCCGCACAAGGCCGCCCGCCCCTCCTTCACCGTCCACCACCAACCTCTGCCCCGGCTGGCCCTGGCGCAGGCCACGCCCCTCCTGCCGCAGGCCTCGCCCACCGCACCCGCTGCGGTCTGGGTTTCCCTTGGCATGCCGCCTCCTTATGCCTCGCACCTTTCGGGGGTTAAGCCGCGATAAAGAGCTTGCTTAGCTAGCCGTTCGTATTGTGTAAGGTAAGGCTCGAGCCGGGCCAGGTGCTGCGTACGGGGAAACCACCTGCCCTTTCATCTGCAGGGCGCAGGCGGGCTGCGGGGGGCTTTTCTGCTTAAGTCAGTTTTGAGAGGCGTAACGGAGCCACGGCAGTCCTTGTGTGGCGCTGCGGGATAATGCACGGGGCCGAAAGGTCGGATTGAATTTACGGGTCGGCTGTTCAAACTCACCAGCCGCTTCTCGGAAACCCCTCTGGGGCCACTATGCTTTGAGTCGGAACCGACTCGATGGTGCTTAATAGCAACGAAAGGAGTGTGTTCTCGGCAAGAGCAGGGCCGTGTGACAAGAACGCAGACTAGGGGTGCGCCGTCTCTCAGGCAACTGGTTCCGCAGCAGGATTGTGGGGCTACACAGTGTGACGTTGCCAGCCGCCGCCGTCTGTACCTGGGGCAGTGGAGGCGGGCGGGTCGTGCGCACTGTGGGCTGATGGCCAGCCATTGCAGAGACACCGTGCAGTGGTTGTACGGCTTTGGCATACGACCTGAGCCCTGGTGACGTCAGAAGGTTGGTGGAGGAGCCAGGTACCTTCAGGGGCAGAGGGGAAAGTGGAGACCTCTCTGGGGGGCGCCGGCTCAGGCAGCTGCGTGCCCAAGGTGAAGGATGTCCTCGCCGCATGGCTGTGGCCGGCGCTCCCTGGCAGTGATGTGCGGGCCCAGGACCCACGGCAAGCGCAGTGGCACTGGCTTTCCTGAGGGACGTGTGTCTGCGTCACCGTCGTGGGCTCCCACAAGGTGCACGGTGCCCTGTGGCCGAGTGACCACCAGCCTAGCTTGTCTTACTCGGTGGCAACTTGTTGGTGTGGCTGCCACCTACAGACCCGAGAGCAATGAAGGCAGATCGAGGTCCAGGAGCTGTTTGAGTTTGCCTGTGTCAGGCACGGGTGTGAACCAGTGCCCCCTGGGCACCCGGCCGCCTGGCATGGTGAGCGGAGGGGAGGGGACCGTGCGTTCCCTGGTGGTTGCTGTAGGATGTGGGGCCCCGCTGGCTGCAGTCCTGCTTCCTGGGGCCGGTGCTCACCTGTGTTGCTCTCTCCCGTGCCCGGCCCACAGGTAACTAGCACTTCTACCTCAGCCGCACGACTATGCAAAGGACGGCGTGGACCAACGAGGGCGCTGCCCCGGTGCTTGCGGCCGCAGGGCCCCCACTGGACTCGGAGGTGACAGGACGGAGAAGCTACTGTGAACCCGCCGTGCGCCACCGGGCCCGGGAGCAGCTCTCGCGTGCGCGTTGATAGTTTTAGATAAAGTATTTATCATTTTTTAAAAAGTAAAAATAACTCTGACCTATTTTATTCCATCTAAGTCGTCCGAGGCGACGCACTCAGAAAGACAAATGTCTGTCTACACGAGAAGATATCTGTAGAGACGAGACGTCTGTGGAAGGACCGCCTGGCCCGGTGCTATCTCGTCGTTGGCAGGCCAAGGTGCCGCCCACTCTGCTGGTGCTGACTGGAGGTTGACCTGCCCCACGGCAGCGCCATCCCTCTACCAAAGGCACGCAGGCTCGAGCACGGAGGGGGGCCTCGTGGATCATCTCGCCTGTCTCTTTGCTTAGGGAGGGGCCTCCTTTCCCCGAGCGCTGGCCCTGCAGCCTCCCGGCCCCGTCCCGTCACTGTGAACCCTGAGCGATGAGACTGCGCCCGGGTGTGGGGCCCCGGGTCCATCACGGTGAGGTGGGATGGCGTTCCAGAGCCCGTGCACGCGCCGCCTTGGTTGGCCTTTGTAACAAGTGCATTTACTTTGTACCCTCGGCTTTGACTCCGCTCGTGCGTGCCGCCGGGTGGGCTGCTGAGGAGACAGGGCAGGGGCCCCGAGAGCCCGGTATCTGTACAGAAGAGTCACGCTGACCCGTGACAGTATTTTATAGAGATGGATGAGAGTTTATAAATTTCATAGACTTCAATTTCATTTATTTTTAGATTGTATAATGCACAGTAAACTTTAAAAAAAAAGATAGTGGGGTAAGGGAGAGAAAAGGAACCTTATTTATTCAAGTACATAGACGGTGTTGGCCAGACTGGTGGGCCCAGAGCATGTTGGCACCGGTGTAGTGTCAGACCAGAGGTGGAGTGAGGGGAACCCCTGCTCTCCTAGACACAGCCCCCCCCATCCCCCGCCACTCCTACTAGTCGGTGCTCAGGAGTGGACCCACGGGGGCAGGGCCAACCTGGGTGCTGCCCGCCTCTGATAATTGGGGACTCTGACTCTTTAGGACCCTCCCCAGCAGGCAGTGGTCAAAGCCTGGTCATCGAGGTCAGGTGCCAGGTGGGCACACTGGGGACCACATGCCTGCCCTTGCTGCTTGTTAGATGCAACCCCAGTCAGCTAGAGGTGGGTGGACAGATGGGGTGGTCAAGGGGACAAGGGACCCCATTCTCCTGAGTGCCAGAAACAGCCTGACTTTGGGATCTGTCCTGGCACCCCACCCCCCACCCCCTTAGTGCAGACAGCCTCTTGAACAGCCCTGATCCATCCCCTGGGGTTGGGTGGGGCGGGGCAGGTGCTCCTTGGTGATGTGTCCCACCCCACCCATCCCCTCCAGCTGCCCTGCTCCCTAGCAATAGTTATTGGGATCTGAAGATGGTGCTCTCAACCCATTTAAAAACTGCCCCCTTCCCAAGTTGGTGCTGGCCTCATAGGTGCTGCCAGCCCTGAGGCACCACATTGCTGGGCTCTCCTTGAGGTCCCCAGGTCAGCCAGGAAAGCTCACAGTGGCAGGAGACTCCAGGTTCGCATGAGGCCTAGCCCGGGGCCTGTGGCCAGCCAGGTAACCCTGAAAGTGCCATAGTCTAGTCTTAGAGAACCAGCCTGCACAGGTACTTGAATGGCAGGAGGGACATTGTAAGCAGGTGCTACCCACCAGCTCCCTCAGCCTGGGGGCTGCAGGGGACACTAAACAGTTCTCTGAAACTGAGTCTAGGCCACTGGGAAGACTGGCCCCTTTGGTCCACCCAGCGAGGGCAGCAACGTGTTGGGGCCTTGTCTGGCCTGGCTTCTGGCAGCTCTGGTTTGAGACCTGGTGCTCTGTTGGCTTATGGGCGAGTTAAGTTGCTCTTGCTCAGGAATCGATTCGTCAGACTCCCTCCAGCCAGTGTGACTCGGGCTTCACGGCCCTCATAGACCAACCTCCCCAGCTCCCTCCAAGATGTGTGCTAGGTGTCCAGCTGTGGATTGTGACTTGTTTAAGATGGCTGCCCCTGCCCTGGGATAGCTTGCTCAGTTTGCTGCCTTCCTTATCCCCTCCCCCAGCCTTTCTGTGAGGAAAATGCAGCTTCACTGTGTGTTCCCGTTTGTCCAACGCACCCCCCCCCCCCACTCTGCATCGCCACCTCTAGACGCTGCAATAAACATACTTGTTTCCACTGGTCAGTGGCTGTGTTCTGTGTTGACTGTGTGTGTATAGGGTGGGGGGAAGGGGTAGGGGCCGGCCAGGCTGCTGCTACTACTGACTCCATGGAGATGCCCAGTCACACCTGAGGGCTTTAACTGAATTAAGCCGGGCCCACCAGATGGATCAGCCAAGTAGCAGCATCAATGGACTCAAGTGTGGCAACGATAGTGATGTTGGCCCAGGATGGGGCAGTGTTTCCTTCTGCTGTGCTATGAGTCAGTACCGACTCGATGGATCCTAACACCACCACCAGGACAAACTCCCTTTTGGTGCAAACCCATCCAATTTAATCATATTGGCAAAACCCTTTCTTCAATTCTACCAGCTGGGTGCAAATCTGGTTCCCCTTAACAGGGGTTGTACACCAGGGGCCGCATTGGGAGTTTCTATGCCATCAGAGTTACCCACCGTAACCCAATCCCCCCCGCCCAGCTCAGCTCACCACTGCCCAGTGGAAAAAGGTCCATTTATTTCCACAGAAGGTGTGCACACAGGGCAGCCCTGACCAGCTCTGCTCAGGGGCCATTACAGGGCACCCTCCATCAGCAGGAGTGAGTTCACATTGGGGCAGGTGGGCAGTCCCCATGCCCTTCACAGCTTCGGTCTATACATTCAGTTGGCAGAGAAAACCCAGCCCCTCCAAGGAGACAGCTGGGGACAGCCAGTTCCAGGAGGCGATGCTTGTACTCAACAGCCACAGAAGTCTGATCTGGCAGCTAGCAGCTCACCACCCTACCCAGCCGAGGGCACGAAAAAACCCTCCCGGGAGCCGGGGCCAGGGTTCATGCCTTCAAACTGCTCAGCTGGAAGCGGGCCTCTTCAGAGATGCCAAGCTGTTCCAGAGGATCCTGGGAGGGGTGACGGGCAGGGACTGAGTGAGCCCCGGCAGAGAGACGTCAGCCTCACCCAACCAGCCCCCCAGCCGGCCCCAGTCACCTTGCCTGTCACCTTCTGGATCTCATTCCTGTAGAAGACAAGGCTCCTTCGCATGAACTCGTAGCTGGAGGCATAATGAGGTGAGTTGTCATGGGTGTCAAGGCTGACGCCTTGCCCCTGCTGGAGCCCCGCCTTCCTGAACGCCCCAACACTGACCTGGCCCGGCGCAGGGCTGCCATCCACTCCTGACACTGCTCCTCACTCCAGCACTCAAAGCGGTACTTCCTCTCTGTGTCTTCCAAGAAGCCTGCGGGAGCAGGCCTCATCTGTCCCCAGTGGCCACTCTCCCCTCTCCAGGACAGCCACTTTCCAAGACAACCCACCACTCAGATCATGAGGCACAGACTCCAGGCCAGACAGTCCTAGGGTGCTCCAAAGGCAGCCTACACTGACTCCAGCATTTTGGGATGCCAGCACTCACACCCTGCAGCCCTGCTTGTGGGCCCTCAACTGTCTGGAATGTCAGCAGCAAAATCCCCTCCTCCAGGCAGCCCTCTTGGCCTCACTTCCCCATCCCCCTCAATAATACTTGGGCTCCATCTCCCTCTGCAGACTTGGGAGGTCTAGAATAGGGCGTGGGAAACCCTCCCGGACCACAGCACCGGGCACTTCCCGACCCTAAGCCAAAGAGAAGGTTCAGAACGCAGTTTGGATGCAGGGTGGCTCCTCCCTGCAACCCAAGTCCATGCTAGGCCTCACGGGGAGGGCAAAGTCTGGCTTCTTGGCACCGGCCTTGGCAGGGTGACAGGTGTGCGGCTCCGGCAAACCTGACCTTGAGCTGCCGGGAACAATGGCCTCTTGTTTCTGGGCAGCGGTGGTGCCGGGCTGGGTACACAGGAGGAGGCTTGGGCGCCTGGGAAAGGGACAGCGGGGACCCGGCCGTCTTTGTCCCCAGCCACACTCACTGATGGAGAAGCCGCTGGACTCTTCCTTAGTGACTCGGCAGTGCTCCAATAACAGGGCTCCGATGGGCTGGAGGACAGACAGACGGAGGACCATGGGAGCAGGCCCTCTTCCCTGGTCTCACCTTCCGCTCCAGCTGGGGGCGGATCCCAGGAGGAGAGGGCTGGAGAGCAGAGGGAGTTAGCCAGCGCCCGGCTTCTAGCTTAGTGGGGACAAACAGGGCGCCCCGAATCCAAGAGCAGGCTGGTCCCACTTCCCCCAGGGGTCCCCGCCCCTTACCTCGGCCTCGTCCGTCCGGAAATAGAAAAGAAAATTGGCCACCAGCTTCACCAGCCGCCGCTTCACCACTGCGGGCGCAGAGTGAGCTCAGGGCGCGCAGCAGAGGAGCCACTACCGCGCTCCCGGCACACCGTTAGCCCGGACTCCCCGACCCCCGGGAACCGCACGCCCCAGCTCCCTGGGCCCCCGCTCACCGTTGCCCTTCTTGGGAGCCCGCATGCCCAACTCGGCCGCCAAGTCAGCCGGCTGCCGGGAGAGCGCCAGTAGCTCCTTCTCGTTGTAGCGCATGCCGCTGCCGGGAGGGAGAACGCGGATCCCTGGCCTCCGCCCTCCCGGCCTGCGTCTCTGCCGGCGCCAAAAAAAAGTCTCAACGGGTAGCCCCGGAAGTACTGCTGGAGCTAGTGCACCTGCGCACTACACCGGGACGCTTGTCTTGTCAATAACCGGGACACGCGCTAGTGTTCTGGGGACTCCTGGGGCAAGTGGCTCCTCGCCACAAAATACATTGGGCGCCGGGTGTTAACAGAATCAAGGACCGTCCGCAATATTGACGGCAGCCTTTAATGAAAGAAGACTAGGCAAAGAGAAACGATGAGATTTCAAAGCGAGTCTCAACCCAGTCTTCTCGCGAGACTTGACCCTGCGAACTGGGAGTAGAACGCTAATGCGATGAGAACATTGTGCGCATGCGTACAGTGGCTTTCTCGCGCGCACACCCTTACCCCCCGCTTCCCGTACTCTGAGCCACTCCCCCTTTTGCCTTGTGCCTGACGGCCTTCTAGGCCACCCTACTGCGCGGGATGAGCATGCGCACACCGAAGGCCTTGTTTCGATTGCTCCGGAAGTCCTTCATAAATCCACGACGCGGGAGCACTGGGCCTAGTGGTGGTGGTGTCCGTTGCGGGTGAGTAGCGGGCGGACCAGGGTGAAGGCGGCGATCACTCTGTGCCCGCGTTTTCCTGGAAGGAAGTAGACGTAGGAGAGGAGCGCCAGCGACGAGCCGCGCGGCCTGGGAGGACCAGTCGGCCCACGGTGTCCCCGGCGCCCACGCAGCCCCGGCTCACTGTTGGGGCCCAGCCGGGCAACTCCTTTGGCCTCTGGGAGCTCTCCCGAGAAAGACCCGCTGGGGTCCGGGAGTAACAATAATTATGGCTCCAGTGGCCGTTAGCGCTTGCCGAGAGCTGCTGCTGCTTGCTTAGTTGACTTCGTGAGCGCCGGGAGCCTCAGTTCCTTTAACTGTGAAATGGGGGGAAGGGGTCTGCCACCGGTAACGGGTGTCTGAGTGGAGAGGAAAAATCCGAAAGCGAAATCCCAACCCAGAAAACCTCTCTTCCCAAACCGAAGGGAGAGAAACGTTTTATCATAGAATAAACGGTAAACCAGAACGCGTTACGTGGCGGGTAGTCGCTGGAGAGAGACGCGGCCCGCTGCATTCGGGTGTTCAAGATCATTGTTGGTTTTCTAACCTTTCTGACCCCGAGAGAGGCCTGAGTTACGGTGACACATCACGTTGTTTGTTCGTTTTTAACTTTTTATTGTGAATCGGGTGAAAGTTTACAAGACCATCAGTTTTACATTCAACCCATAACGCACTTTGATTCAATCCCCTCCCTGCAGCAACCGCCTACCTGCTGCCTCCCGGTGGCGCCAATTTGCACGCCACCCATCTTCCCATCCCTTTCACCTTTGTCCTACGTACATGGTGCCCCTTCAGTCTTGCCTGGGTGACCAATCCATCAGTCATCATCAGCAACCCTTACTAGTGTTGTTCCTCCCCCTATCTACCTATCTGCTGCTTGCCTGAATGGTGAGGGTGAGTTCCTTTGCAGACCTGGAAGGTGGTCCAGGCCCATAAGTACCATCTCTGGTCTTTTCTGACAAGTAAGCCCGGGCTTATTTTCTTTTTTAAATGATGTTGAGTTTTGCTTCATAATTCTGCTGCTCTAGCCAGAACCTTCTAATGGGATCCCTTTCAGAGAAGTTGGATGTGATAACTGGGTACCAGCTAATTCCGCTCTTAGAGTCCTGGAGACAGACGTTTACATGTTCCATTAGTCTGTTGGATTGATTGAGTCCAATCTTCACTTCGTATCACTCTTCTTTCTTCTGCACATGGAGATATCAGTAGCTGCACTTGATGGCTCCTTAGGAGTTCTGAATAACCTGGACGCTACTCACTGCAGTAGGATGTAGAAAGTGTCTTTGTAGCGATGTTACACCAAAAGCCTATGGTCCTGAACTCCTGGGCTCAGCTAGCTACGCATTGCCGGGAGATGTGTGAGAAAATGCAAGAAGTTGTCAGTGTTTTTCCAACCGTGTACTCTACCACATTCATAGTTGTGTTTGCAGAAGAGGTAAATACTTGTGCACCAATAACTACTTTCAAACTCTTGACTATTTGTAGGATCTAATAAATAAATATACTTCAAACTCACTAGCCAATCTCCGAAACCCTGTACAGAGTCGCTATGAGTCCCAACCAACTTGACAGCGATTAACAATATATGTTGTTGTTAGATGCCATCATCGGTTTAGGACCGACTCATAGCAACTCTGTGCACAGCAGAAGGAAACACTGCGCGGTCCTGCTCCAGCCTCCTAATTGTTACCACGCTTGAGCCCATTGATGCTGCCACTTTGTCATTCCATCTCGTTGGGGTCTTCCTCTTTTTCTCTGACCCTCCGTCTTACCAAACATGATATCCTTCTCCAGCGACTGGTCCCTCCTGACAATATGTCTGAAATATGAGAGACGAAGTTTGGCTATCTTGGCCTCCAAGGAGCACTCTGGCTGCACTTCTTCCAAAATAGATCTGTTGGTTCTTTTGGCAGCCCATGGCACTTTCAGTATTCTCCTCCAACACCATAACTCAAATGCATCAATTCTTCTACAGTCTTCCTTATTTACTGTCCAGCTTTCGCATGCATATGAGGTTATTGAAAATACCATGACTTGGGTTAGGCGCACCTTAGTCCTCAAGCTGACATCTTTGCTCTTCAACACTTTAAAGAGGTCTTGTGGGCAGAGTTGCCTAATTCAATACATTGTTTGATTTCTTGACTGCTGCTTCCATGAGTGTTGATGGTTGATCAGAGCAAAATCCTTTTTTTTTTTTTTTTTTCAATTTATCATGATGTTGTTTATTGGTCCAGTGGTGATATTTTTCTTTACATTGAGGTGTACCGCATACTGAAGGCTGTGCTCTCTGATCTTCATCAGTAAGTTTTTCAGACCTCCTGCTTTCAGGAAGCCAGTTTGTATCATCTGCACATTGCACGTTCTTAATGAGTCTTCCTCCTATTCTGATGCCCTTTCCTAATTTTGAACCATTCAGTGTTCCCTCCTTCTGTTCAAACTACTACCTCTTGGTTTATGCTCAGGTTCCTCATAAGCACAGTTAAGTGTTCCGGAATACTCAGTCTCCTCAATGTTGTCCATAACTTGTCATGATCCACACAATTGAAAGCCCTTGCATAGTCAACAAAGCGCAGGTAAACATCTTTCTGATATTCTCTGCTTTCATCCAAGATCCATCTGAAGTCAGTAACGATACGCCTTGTGCCACATCCTCTTTTAAATCTGGCTGCAAACTCTCTGGAAGATCTCTGTCAATATATGGTTGCAGCCATTTTAAAATTATCTTTAGCAAAATTTTGCTCCCATGGGTATTGCTATTGTCCAATGATTTCAGCATTCCTTTGGGCCACCTATCTTTGGAATAGGTACAAATATGAATCTCTTCCAATCATTTCGCCAGGTAGTTATCATCCCAGTTTCTTGGCATAGATGAGTGAGCACCTCCAGCGCTGCCTCACTTTGTTGAAAGGTTTCAGTTTGTCTCCATCAGTTCCCCGTGCCTTGTTCTTTGTCAGTGCCTTCAGTGCACCTTGGACTTCTTCCTTGGCTCTTGATCATATGCTCCCTCTTCAGATGGTTCAGTATCAACCATCTCTTTCTGATACAGTGACTCTGTGTTTTCCTTCCGTCTTCTTATGATGCTTTTTGCATCATTCAATATTTTGCCCATAGAAACCTTCAATACCTCAAGTTGACGTTTGAATTTTTTCTTCAGTTCCCTCAGCTTGAGAAAGACTGAGCGTGTTCTTCCCTTTTGGTTTTCTAACTCCACATCTTTGCACATTTTGTTATAATATTTGACTTTGTCTTCTCGAGCTGACCTTTGAAATTTTCTGTTCAACTCTTGGACCTCCTCATTTCTTCCATTTGCTTTAGCATCTCTATGCTGGAGAGCAAGTTTCAGAAACTTCTGACATCTATTTTGGTCTTTTCCTTCTTTCTTGTCTTCTTAATGACCTTTTGCTTTTTTCCTGTATGATGTTCTTGATGTCATCCCATAACTCTTCTGGTCTTCTGTCTTTAGTGTCTAATGCATCAAATCTGTTCTTCAGGTGATCTCCAAATTCTGGTGGGAGATGTTCAAGGTCATGTTTTGGCTCTTGTGGACTTGTTTTAATTTTCTTCGGCTTTAGCCTGAACTTTCATACAGGAAATTGATGGTCTGTTTCACATTCTGTCCCTGGCCTTGTTTTGACTGATGATATGGAGCTTTCCCACCATCTCTTTCTACAGAAGATGTGAATTTGATTTCTGTGTGTTCCATCAGGTGAGGTCCATGTGTATAGTCATCTGTTATGTTGTTTAAACAAGGTATTTGCAGTGAAGAAATCACTGGTCTTGCAAAATTCTATCATGTGGTCTCCAGCATTGTTTCTATCATCAAGGCCATATTTTCCAACTACTGATCCTTCTGTTTGTTTGCCATCTTTACATTCCTGTCACCAGTAATTATCAATACATCTTGATTGCATGTTTGATCAACTTCAAACTGTAAAAGTTGGTAGAATACTTCAATTTCATTATCACTAGCTTTAGTAGGTGGTGCATAAATTTGATTCATAGTTGTATTAATTGGTCTTCCTTTAAGCGTATGGATACCATTCTATTACAGACAGTGTTGTACTTCAAGACAGATCTTGGATATGCTCTGTCTGATGATGAATATGACGCTATTCCTTCTCAAATTCCCGGCATAGTAAACCATGTGGTCGTCAGATTCAAAATGACCAATACCAGTCCTTTTCAGCTCACTAATGCCTAGGGTATGGATGTTGGTGCGTTCCATTTCGCACGGTTTGCAGTTTTCCTAGATTGACGGTTTGCAGTTTTCCTAGATTGACACTTTATACATTCCATGCTCCGATCCTTAATGGATGTTTGCAGCTCTCGCTTCATTTTGAGTTGTGCCCATCAGCTAATGAAGGTCCCGAGGGCTTTAGTCTATTCACATCATCACTCTGAGGAGGCAGCTTTTCCCACCTGAGGGCCTCATCATCCAGCACTATATCTGACAGTGTCCCGCTGCTACTCATAAGGTTTTCAGTGACTAAATATTCAAAAGTAGTTCATCTCTCCTTCTTCCTAGTCTGCCTCAGTCTGGAAGCTCATCTAAAACCTGTCCACTGTGGGTGACCCTGCTAGTATTTAAAATACCTGTGGTATTGATTCCAGCAACACACAGGCCACTACAGTATGACAGACTGACAGACGAGTGGTGCAAATACATATATGTATATATATGTATATTGTGTGCCGTGGAGTCGGTTTCCAAGGCTGCAAATCTTTACAGAAGCAGAAAGCCTCATCTTTCTCCTGAGGAACAGCTGGTAGTTTCGAACTGCTGACCCTGAGGTTTGCAGCTCGATTTGTAACCACTACACTATGTGTGTGTGTGTATATATATAGTATATATATATACACACACACACACATATATATATCATATATATATGTACACACACACACATATCTCCTGGTGTGGGGCTGTGTGTTAATGCGCTGGACTGCAGAGTCAGTTTGTACAGCAAGATCAGTGGTTCAAGCACATGAGCTGCTCCTCAGAAACCCTATACAGGGTCGCTTTGGGTTGGAAGCCACTCGATGGCAGTTCACAACAGTATATATATATGCATATCTGTATGTCAGTCTTCCTCCCATACCCGTTCAGCGTGTGTCTCTGTCTCTCTCTCTGTCTACTCTCAGAACACTGTTCCAAGGTTGTGGGTATATCACTGTTTACCTCTCTCCCCTTTATCCCATCCACTCTGCTCTGGTTGTTCACCTCTTTTCATTATTCTGCCTGCCTCCCCTCTTGCCTTTTATCGCCCTTTGCCCTCCAGCCAGTGAATTACCCTCCCAACTGGTGAGGGGGCTGTAGGATAAACCATCACCAGCTGCTCCTCAGAAGCCCTCTATGAGTCAGAACCGACTCCACAACACTACACAAACAACACACACCTTTCTAACCCTCATCACAAGTTTCTGAGAAGTTGAAAATTCTGTGCACTGTTTTCTTCCATCCTTTCTCTCCCAAACATCTTCAAAGCCCCTGGTGCCTGGTTAGTGGCTCCCTTCCGTGCCATACCACAGAATGAAACGTGTGGGCCCCACGCCATCCTCGGGACTGCAGTACTGGGTCAGTCCGTGTACTTAGGGGCTTCTTGCTTTTTGCTCACCCTTGACCTTACCAAGTATAACGTCTTCCCCGGGGCCTGGGCCCTCCTGATAACATGCTGAAAGTGTGGGAGGTGAAGTCTCCCAGCCTTGTAAAGAGCACTCCGGCTGTACTTCTCCCCACACAGTTTCTTTGTTCTTGCAATTTGTGCTTTATTCTGTGTCCTTCGCCAACAAAGGCATCACCTACCTGCTGTGAGTTTTCCCTGAAAGAACCAACATGTTACACACCTGTGTATTGTATCATCCAGGTGTTTGAGCAAACTCATTCCTCCCCACCCGTGGAGAAATTTTGTCTCTCCGGATCTCGGTGTCTTCCTTCTCCCATTCATACGTCTTGCAGCAGAGGCTAGACTTCTTTTTTTGTTTGTTTTGTTGTGGGGTTTTTTTGCTAGACTTCTTGTCATTGCATTCTGGGTTGCTTTCGTCTTCAGTCTGACCATCTCTTCCTTCAGTGTGTTCTGTCAAAACACTTAAGCTGCTTTCGAATGTATCACTTTGTTTTAGTGGTGAGCCATATACTGTCTGAAAATAACTTTATTTATCCTTGCACCTCAACTTCTGAGACATTTGCCTGGCTGTAGACTACATTTTCCTCTGAGTTGTGAAGGTGTCTGATGTTTGCGTTCAGCTTTCGGTGTTGGTGATGAGAGGGCTGTTCCATTCTGATTTCTCATCTTATGTTAGTGACTGGTTTGCTCTCTATGTAGTACAGGCTTGATATGGTAACGTATCACGAGTGATTCGAGGGTCTTGTGTTTCTGGGTAACACTCTCCTATTACATCTTTGGTAAGACTGTCGTTTTGTCTTCTCACACCCTGAAATTTCATCTAAGTTTTCGGTTTTCCTCTTTCATTCTTTTTCAACTAGCTTTTTTTTTTTTTTTTCCATGCAAAATTTGCCGCACTCTAACCTTCAAATTCTTATACTGAATTTTAGTTTGAGGAATCTCATTTTTACTTTTTAGCGAGCTCATCTTGGTGATTTGGCTTATTAACATTTGATATCTTGTTTTAGTGTCTTGGTACAGTAACTTTTCTTACGTTGAGAGAGGTCAGTGATGCCGTGTGTGTGTGTGTGTGTGTGTGTGTGTGTGTTTACCATATTTATTTGGAGGGCAGTGAATAGGAGGAGTGAGAGTTAGGGTTAGGACTATGGATAGGCTAGGCGTGGTCTCCTGGTATGGCACTGTAGGATAAGCATTGAACATCTGGAGAGGTGCTGTGGATTAATGCCCTGGACTGCAAAGTCAGTTTGATCTGCAAGGTTGGCGGTTCAAGCTCACCAGTCGTTCCTTGGGAATCTTGTACAGGGTCGCTATGGGTCGGAACCAACTCGACAATGTTTCACAGTAACAACAAGGGTTAGTGTTAAGGAGCTCTGGGAGCGTAGTGGTTACGAGTCGGGCTGCTAACCTCAAAGTCACCAGTTGGAAACTACCAACTGTTCTGTGGGAGAAAGGTGAGGCTTTCTGCAAAGATTTATTTGCCTTGGGTTTTGAAAAGTTTTTTTATAGTATGTCTTGGTGGTTTGAGGGGGCCTATCCTGTTAGCATAGTGAACTGCGAGCTGGGTTGCTAACCACAGGGTCAGCAGTTCAGATCTACCAGGCGCTCCGTGGGAGACAGATGAGACTTTCAGTTCCCATAAACATTTACAGCCTTGGAAATCCCAGACAGGGTCGCTATGAGTCAGAACTGACTCGACAACACAGACCCACCGGCCACCATCCTGCTTGGAGTCTGGTCAGCTTCTTGATGGTCAGCTCCTCATCTTTGATGATATTTTCAGGTTAACCACTCCGGCTCTCCATTCATTTGTTTCTACTTCTTTACCCTTTTCAGTGTATTAGCTCTTATATTTGTTTTGTCAGTTTCCTGAATTCTTCTATCTTTGTGCCTTGTTTCCTTGATTTCAGCTGCATTTTAATTGATCCATTCTCTGGATCCACTGAAGTTACCTAAATAGCATTCATTTGTATCCTTGTCAGGTAGTTAGGGTACCATTTCTGCTGTTATATTTTTTGACTCTGTGTTTTGGTCACTTGTTTGAGGCACTCGGCCTTGTGTTTTGTGTAAGGTGACGGTGTCTGGTTTTTCCTGTCATTGTGGTGTCTATTTACATGTAATTGATGGTTGCATACTGGGGTGCTGTCTCAGGCACTTAACTATCGACTCCTGGTGGATGTGGTCTGGACCGGAAGTGTGAGCCACATAGTTCAGGCTGGTCCACGCACCTCCAGAAGTAGGGGCGCCCTGTTCAGTGCTCAATCCTGTGCAGAGGCTGTGCAGGAGGGGGGCCGCTGGCTGCTGGGGTGGGCAGGTAGGGAGTGGCCACACCCCTGACTAAGGAAGGGCCTGGAAACAAGGTGGAACTGCACCCTCTGGACAGCCACTGACCACACAGCCCCAGCCACGCCAGCCCGCGGTCGGCCATTTTTCCTCTCTCTGCTCCTTGTCTGCCTCCCCTCTCAGTCGGCAATCAGCCCACCTCTCTGTCCTAGCCTCGGATGCTCAGGGGTCCAGGACCATTGTCTGTCTGTGTCACGTGGTCTCCCATGCCTTTGTTTCAGCAGCAGGTTGGGTGGTGGTTCAGTCCGCTCAGTCACCTCCTCTACTTTAGTAAGCATGACGTACTTCTCCCGGGACAGGTCCCTCCTGATGACGTGTCTGAGGTCTCGCCATCCTTACCTCTAGAAGGAGCACTCTAGCTGAACTTGTCCCAACACAGACTGGTTTGTTCTTCAGTTTTCCTTGTGCATGATTGGAATCCGGCGCATCGTAGTCTTCAGAGTGATTCTCTTTGTTCTGTGAAGAGAGCTTTTGCAGCGTATTTGCCCAAATCTTACAGTTTCTGGTATTGATTGTGGGTCTAAATAAATGAAATTCTTGACAACTTCCGTCCGTTTATCATGCTGTGACTCTGTTGGCCCAGTTGTGAGGGTTTCTGTGTGTTTGCCAGCACTTCCGGACTCCCACGGAGTTGGTTCTAACTCCCAGTGCCCCTGTAGAGGAGTCTGAGGCTGAAAATCTTCTCAGGAGCAGAAAGCCTCACCGTTCTCCTATGCCGGGGCTGCTGGGCTTCACTTGCCAACCTTGGTGGTATCACATTCCCAGGTGCCAGGGACATGTTTGGGGGCGGGCGTGCACTCTTCTTCTGACCACACTGTCTCCTGGCTCAAGTCCTGAGGAGCTCCCCCCAGCAGAGATCATTTGTGTGTCGCATCCATGGCAGACACTGACCACTCAGTGTTGGGTGGTCAGAGAGAGAAGCTGCTGTCTGGCATTTGGGTTTCAGCTGAGCTGGGAAGAAGAGTGCAGGGTGCACTGTGGACATGTAGCTGGGTGGGAGACGGCTGACCCAGGACCCCGGGGAGCTGTCCTGCCCACAGACCGCAGGCCTGGCTGGTCTGACCTAGGAGACTTTGTTCCCAAGAAAGTGGCCACTGAGCCCAAGCCTCACAGCTGCTCCCTCTGGACCCCCAGCTTTCCTGCTCCCTTGACACCCCAAGACCGGCACCATGGATTTCCAGCACCGACCGGGTGGCAAGACCGGGAGTGGGGGTGTGGCCTCCTCCTCCGAGAGCAACCGTGACCGTCGAGAGCGCCTGAGGCAGCTGGCCTTGGAGACCATCGACATCAACAAGGTGGGCGGCCAGTGGGCCCCAGGCGGGTCACCAGGGGAAGGTGGGCAGAGAACTTGGCCTGGCTTCCTGTCACTGGCCTTCTGCAGTGGGCAGGAGCTGGAGCCTGGAGTGCTGTGAGCACTCACAGACGCCTAGGCGCCCAGAGCTCCCCTGGTGGGTTCCGGAGGCTCCAGTCTCGGCTTCCTCGAGGGCACGCACGGGCCTGGCCCAGAGCAGCAGCCCTCAACAGCTTCGCTCCGGAGGGCACCCAGAGCTGAGGACCGTGGTGTCACCACGTGGACTGAGATCATTCCAGCCAGAAGCTGTCAGCAGGAGTGTTGTGTTTTACTCGTTCTGAGTTGACATGGGAGCTTGGCTTTCCCCTTGGCACCGAGGTGGGGGGGTGGGGAGGAGTCCTGGCCCATCAAGTCAGAGTCTGCATTTAATGCCCACCTGGCCTTCTTCCTTGAGGGCCAGCAAGCAGAGGGGGCACTCACTCGGTGTGGGGGCCCCCCAGCGGGTCAGTCCTTCAGTTCCTGATAGAAGCCCGGCCCTTGTGCCCCTCTAGGACCCGTATTTCATGAAGAACCACCTCGGCTCCTATGAGTGCAAGCTCTGCCTAACACTACACAACAATGAGGTACGTCTCCAGCCCCCGCTCCCAGCCATTCGGTGGCCACTCTCCTCCTGTGCCCTCGGAAAGAGTGTGCCAGCCTTCAGGTCTTGGGGCCTCTATTTCCTGGACTCTGCACACCTGTCCTAAGCGCCGGTCCTCACTGCGCGTGTCCTTCCTGCAGGGCAGCTACCTGGCGCACACCCAAGGGAAAAAGCATCAGACCAACCTGTGAGTGTCACAGACCGGGGCTGGGTGTTGGGGACAGTGCGGTGATGGCTGTGATAATGAGGGTGGGTGGTGACAAGCAGGGATAGACACCCCTCACCTGGCAGATGAGCATGCTGGTGTGCGGGGGTCATGCCAGTGGGGACACCCCTGGCTCTTGGGCTGTGACCTTGAGGCCCTGAGTGCAGGAGCCCCAGCATCCCCACCCCCACCCCACCCCCGATGCCCCCAGGGCCCGGCGCGCTGCCAAGGAGGCCAAGGAGGCCCCAGCCCAGCCTGCGCCCGAGAAGGTCAAGGTCGAGGTGAAGAAGTTTGTGAAGATTGGCCGCCCTGGCTACAAAGGTGCGTCAGTTTGTGGCGGCTGGCGCCAGGCCCACCCACACAGACACCCGGGATCCGCCTCAGTGACCTCTGCAGCCCTCAGCACCCTACTCAGACCTGGTACAAGCACAGGGTGGGCTCTGGGGTGGAAGGGGGAGGATGGGTCCCCAGGACCGTGCCCTGTTTCTTGCAGTGACCAAGCAGAGGGACACAGAGGTGGGGCAACAGAGCCTGCTCTTCCAGGTGAGGTGCCCCCCACCCTGGGCTCTGGTGGGGTGCCCCCAGGAGGAGGGGTGCTGACCACTCACTCTGTTCACAGATCGACTACCCGGAGATTGCTGAGGGCATCATGCCACGACACCGCTTCATGTCTGCCTATGAGCAGAGGATCGAACCCCCAGACCGGCGCTGGCAGTATCTGCTGATGGCCGCAGAGCCCTATGAGACCATTGCCTTCAAGGTGGGGTGGCCGGGGAGCGGGGCTGCCCTCTGTCCCTGTGGGGACCCCACCCCTGCTAGGGAGGAGCTTTGCCTCAAAAAAGGGGTCCCTCAAGGCTGGGTCAGGACCTGGGTTGGTCCTGCAGTGCAGGTGGGCACCACTCAGCATGTCCTACTTCCTGGCTGAGCCTAGCCTGTCCTCTGCCCAGGTGCCCAGCAGAGAGATCGACAAGGCCGAGGGCAAGTTCTGGACCCACTGGAATCGGGAAACCAAGCAAGTGAGTCATCCTTGGGTGCGGGCCACAGGGAGGGGATCTGGTACAGTGCCGCCCACTGAGGCCGCTGTCCGCTGTCCAGTTCTTCCTACAGTTCCACTTCAAGATGGAGAAGCCCCCTGCACCACCCAGCCTTCCTGCCGGGCCTCCCGGGGTGAAGCGCCCCCCGCCCCCTCTGATGAATGGCCTCCCTCCACGGCCACCTCTGCCTGAGGCCCTGCCCCCACCCCCACCTGGCGGGCTACCCCTGCCACCCCTGCCACCCACAGGGCCTGCACCCTCTGGTCCCCCCCAGATGCCCCCACCAGCCCCTGGGGTCCATCCCCCAGCCCCGGTGGTTCACCCACCAACCTCTGGGGTCCACCCTCCGGCCCCTGGGGTCCACCCTCCAGCCCCAGGCGTCCACCCCCCAGCCCCAGGGGTCCACCCCCCAGCCCCAGGGGTCCACCCCCCGGCCCCAGGGGTCCACCCCCCATCTGCCGGAGTGCACCCCCAGGCCCCAGGGGTCCACCCACCCACTGCCGGAGTTCACCCCCAGCCTCCGGGAGTACACCCACCTACTCCTGCTGTTCACCCCCAGGCACCTGGGGTCCACCCAGCAGGCCCAGGAGTTCACCCCCAGGCACCGGGGGTCCACCCTCAGGCACCGGGGGTCCATCCTCAGGCTCCGGGGGTCCATCCTCAGGCTCCGGGGGTCCACCCTCAGGCTCCAGGTGTCCACCCCCAGCCTCCGGGAGTGCACCCCCAGCCTCCGGTGGTCCACCCTCCTGCTCCTGGTGTACACCCCTCAAATCCTGGAGTGCACCCCCCAACTCCCATGCCCCCGATGCTGAGGCCCCCGCTGCCCTCCGATGGCCCTGGGAGCCTCCCTCCTCCTCCCCCAGGCAACTGAGGAGTGTCCCATCCCTGTGGGTTGGCACCCGCCCCGGTGTGTTACTGTGGAGAGATGGATACTGTTTTTATAGAGAACTTTGTGAAGTCCTGAGTCAGTTAATAAAATCTCCCAAGCCCTGGAGTGCAGTGATGTGTTGGGTGGAGAGGGTCCCTGTGGGGTGCTGGCTCACTGCCCCATTCTGCTCTTGTGTGTTTTTGGGGGGGGAGGGGACAATGCTGAGCATGGAACAACTCTGTCACCAACCAGACCCACACCGAGTTCAGTGCCCACCTGCCCCAGGACCACAGGGCGCGGCCCCTCCCCACGCCAGGCCCAGACCTGTTTATGTGCTGCCTGTCCGTCCACCCCCACCCCCACTCCCACTCAAGGACACTTGGAGGAATCCAGTCAACAGGTCCAGGCTCAGATGGTCGGAGAGACGAGATAGCCAAGAATAGAACAGAGCGCTCTCTGTGAGGCTGCTTCTGAGCCTGCCCGCAGGCTTCCAGGGGTATCGGCTGCCCCCCAAGGTCACGTCCACAGGGAGATGGGACCTGCCCCCTGCCCAGACATGCAGGGAGGCGGGCATATAAACTCAGCAGTCCAGTCTCTGGTACCACCATGCCTGCGTCACCTCTCCCTCGCCTGGCCCTGGTGCTGGTGGTCCTGAGCAGCCCAGCCCTCCCTGAACAGCCTGCCCCAGGCCCCAGGAACCTCACCTGGAGCGAGGACAGTGTCGGGGACCTGTGCTTTGTGTCACTGGGCAGGGGCGGCAACAGGAGTGATGCCCCACTGCAGGTGGTAGGCGCTCTGCGCAGCTACGAACAGGCCTTCCTGGCAGCTGTACGCCTCGCTCACTGGGGCCCCCAAGACCTGACCACCTTCGGGCTCTGTGCCCCCAGTGATGGGCAGGTGGCCCTGAGCCTGCTTCGACGGCTGGGCATGTGGCTCGGGGACCCTGGGGGGCAGCACCTGGTAGTCCTGCACCTGGAGGAAGGTAGGTGAGGGCCAGACCACAGTGGGGTAGGCTTCCTGAGACGGTGGGTGTTGGCAGAGCACCCCACCCTCCCACAGAGCAGGGTCAAGATGCTCCTCCACACCCACCACAGTGCCAGCTGGCTGATCCTCAGAGCTACCACGTTCAGAAAGACCCACTTTACCTGGACCCTTGTGGGTCTCCATCCCCAGATTTGAAAAGCTATGGGCAGTGGAGGGCAGCTCCACCCACACACTTTCCAGCCTCCAGACTGGCCTGCCTGCTGGTCTGCCACCTCCACCCCCTAGATTGGGATGGGGTCTTTGCCTTGCAGTAGATGGGCCTCCCGAGGCCTGGAGCCCAGTGGCTCAGGGGCCCCCTGGTTGCTGTGTGGCCACAGTGACGTGGGAGCCCACACCCTCGCTGAGGTTCCAGGAGCCCCCGCATGGAGGAGCTGGCCACCTGGACCTGGCGCTGCTGGTGCTATATCCTGGGGAGGGCCCCGAGTCCACGGCGTCCGGGGCTGCGCTGTCAGGTGTCCAGGTATGAGGGGTCCACAGGGCAGTTCTGAAGCCACCAGAGCCCAGGCAGATTAAGGGGTGGGCGCTCAACAGGATGCTCACCCTGAGAGGGGCTGTCGGGCCAGGGGAGCTGGGCAAAGCTGGGTTGCCATAGTCCCACCCTACCTTGCCGATGCCCCCATCTCTGCAGAGACTCTGCCCATCCCAGGACACCCGCTACCTGGTACTGGCCCTGGATCGCCCACAGTGGGCCTGGTACAGCGCAGGGCTGAGTCTGACCCTGCGGCTTCACAGACATGGTAGGTGGCACTCCGGTGGTGGAGTTAGGGAGGGGAGGCTCAGGCCGGCCTGGGCCCCTTCCCCTGAGTTTCACCCCTGCCGCAGGCTCCCTCCTGAGCACAGCTCAGCTGCAGGCGCTGCTGTTTGGCACTGACCCGCGCTGCTTCACGCGGATGACCCCCACGCTGCTGTTGCTACCACTTCACCCACAGCCCACACCGCTGCCTATGCACGGCCAACTGGACACGGTGCCCTTCCCCCCAGCCAGGTTCGTGGTGGTAGGAGAAGAAAGGGGTGTGGAAGGTGCTGGGAGGAAGTCTCTTCACCGTTCCCCCATGTACCTCCTGGGTGCTCAGGAAGAAGGGAGGGGCTCCGGATACAAGGCGGACGGAGAAGGGAGAAAGCATCCAGAATATGGTGGGGTAGTGTGAGTGTTAGTGCTGGGGGAGGCCTGCGGTTCCGAGTGTGGGGAACGAAGAGTGCTCCGGAGAGGCTGGGGGTCTAGGGTGCTGGAGGAGGGAGGGGTCCGCTGCAGAAGCTATGTGGAGGAGAACCGGAGTGTTCCACGTTGAAGAGGAGGCTGGTGGCTGGAAGGGAAACGCAGGGTGCTTAGGAAGGAGGGACACAGGGGTCTTATGTTGGGGAGGAGAGTGAGACGGAGCTGGCTGCGTGGGAATTCCTGGGATGGAGGCAAGAGTTCAGGGTCCTGGCCCCTCCTGGTACCCGCTCACTCCACCCCAACCCCCAGGCCATCCTCTCAGCCCGAGGCGCTGCGCAGCACGGACCCCTTCCTGGAGACGCTCACGCGCCTGGTGCGCGCGCTGCGGGGCCCGCCAGGACGAGCTTCGCCACCACGCCTGGCCCTGGATCCCGGCACGCTAGCTGCAGTCCCGCAAGGGCTCGTCAACCTGTCGGACCCCGCAGCGCTCGAGCGTCTGCTAGATGGGGAAGAGCCACTGCTACTGCTGCAGTCGCCGCCCGCCCGCGACCCGGCCAGGGACGCCGCACCTGTGCCGGGCCCTGCCGGGGAGGCTCCGTGGGCGGCGGGCCTGGCACGCCGTGTGGCCTCCGAGCTGCAGGCGGCGGCCTCCGAGCTGCGGGGTCTCCCAGGGCTGCCGCCCACCGCCGCACCTTTGCTGGCGCGCCTACTGGCTCTGTGCCCAGGGGACACGGGCGGGGACGGCCCAGCGCGGCCCCTCCACGCGCTGCTGCTGCTCAAGGCCCTGCAGGGCCTGCGTGCGGAGTGGCGTTGGCGGGAGCGGCGCGATCGGCCTCAGCGCAGCTCGGGGGTGACACCTGGTGGCGATGGGCCATGCGCGTTGCGTGAGCTCGTGGTGGACCTGCGAGCAGAGCGCTCGGTTCTCATTCCGGAGACCTATCAGGCCAATAACTGCCAGGGCGTGTGCGCATGGCCGCAGTCTGACCGCAACCCTCACTATGGCAACCACGTGGTGTTGCTGCTCAAGATGCAGGCGCGCGGTGTGGCCCTGGCTAGACCGCCCTGCTGCGTGCCCACGGCCTACGCTGACAAGGTGCTCATCAGCCTGTCTGAGGAGCGAATCAGCGCGCGACATGTGCCTAACATGGTGGCCACCGCGTGTGGCTGCAGGTGACCCCACGGCGCAGTGCGCCCCTGCCGGTATTTATTCAAACACCATCCCTTTGCATCCAATAAAGACCAACACCTGCCCTGCTGGTAGACCTGTGTGTGCTTGGGGAGAAGCGGGGGAAGCTGGGGGTTGCAAACTGTCCTGGTGCGGAGCTGATGGGTAAGCACTGGACTACTGCTAACCACAAGGTCAGCAGTTCAAACCCAACAGCCGCTCCACGGAAGCCCTTTATGGGATACCTGACTGTCCCCATTGACCAACAACAGCCACGTTGTTAGACCAGCCTATTGAAAGGCCATAGCTTTTAAAACCCTACGGAGCAGTCAGAGAGCAGCAACTAAAGCTAAATTGGCAGATCCAAGCCATGCAGCAGCTCTGCGTAAGAAAGGCCTGGGGACCTGCTTCCGTAAAGATTACATTCCGCTTCACCCAATTCATGATTTAAAAAAAAGAAAAAGATGGCTAAATAAATCCTTTGGAGAATTTCTACTTTGCCACATATGTTGGCGATGATGCGGAACCCACTCAGTGGTCATAGAGTTGTGCTAATGAGTCAGTTCTGTTCTGATCCATAGCGACTCTGTGTGGGGCTTCCAGAGTTCCAGAGGAGCGGCTGGTGAGTTTGACACACAGACCTTGTGGTTCAATCTGACTTTGCAGTCCAGCGCATTAGCACACAGCACCACACCAGGTCATAGAGTTAGGGGTTAGTTTTTGGTTGAGGCGCCCTTCCCCGGGCTCTTCTCCCTCAAACAGGCGCCTGGTGAAAGCCAGTCACCCGATCAGTGTTCACTCCCTCCCAGCCCACCATTCAGATCCGGGGCTCCAGGCGCAAAGGAACAGGTTGTAACAGTATCCAGGGCTCTGCTTTATTTTGCCTCTCAGAGCGCAGCCCCCAGTCCCAGCTCAGTCCCGCCCCTTGCCTGGGCGGTGCGGCTGGCGGCCGTGCCGTTCCTCCTCTTCTGAGGAGGTCTGCCCCCTCCTTTTGGAGGTCCAGGGTGCCCTCTTGCTACGCTCGGGATCCCCGGAGTCCCGCACCCACGACTTATGTGCCCCTTGGCGTGCCTCTCGACGCCCCGGCGGCGCACTACGAAGTTCCCGGTCCGCCCGCGGCCTCTCCTTCCGCGGACTCGCTTCCTTCTCTCTCCGCTGCCTTTCCTTTCTCGGCCTCTCTTCTTTCCTTCCGGGCGGTTTCTCCTTGGACCCTCGGTCCACCTGGGCGTTCCCGGCTGCCTCGCCAGCCTCCTTCTCCTCTGCCACCTCCTTGTTCTCCCGGGCCTCCAGCTTCGCCTTGCCCTCCTCCTGGGGCGCTGGCGGGGCTGGGGTCGGGGTCCAGGCCACGGGCTTTGGCGGCTGCAAGGGGATAGCGAGGTGGCGATGTATGAGAGCGGTCGTGAGTCAGTGCCACCTCCTCGGCCCAGGGTGGGCTCCACCTCCCGGGTCACCTCCACTTACCGGGGGTGACTGGCGAACCTTCGGGGCAGCGCTGGGCGGGACCCAGGTCTTAGGGGCAGGCTCGGGGACCGCCACCTTGCCAGTCACGGCGTCTGGGAATGGGAATGGGGGACAAGTAAGCCTGAGCGAGGGACCGGCGCACTGTTCATCCGTGTCCTCGCCTATGGTCAGGTGCCCTGTACGCAGATGGTGGATTGGGTTCCCTTGCCCTGCCCTGGAAAGGGGCTCAGGTGGGCTCCGCTGCTGCGGGCGCACCCCTCTTTCGTCCTCTCTGTCCCAACGGCAAAAGAACCGTCTCTTGGGCTGGGCAGCCTGGAGGGCACACACGGCTGCTCCTGCCAAGTGACGGGACGCAGGCCCGACCTTGGGGGCCCCTCACCAGCGTGCGTGCAGGTACACGACCCACTGCGTCCTGCAGGGGGTATTCGCGGGCTTGTCCATAGACTAGAGGCCCTCAATCGCAGTTCTGGGGGTGTCTCAGGCCCGACCACAAGAACTGTGCTCACCGTGGCACAACTGGAAGGCCAAACCGAGCAGGGCCACCAGCGAGGCGAGCGCCAGGCACTTGTTGAGCGACAAGTCCCCCCAGGGCAGCTCCTCGTACAGGGGCGGCGGCGGCGGCGGCTGAGGCGGCGGCGCGACCTGACTCTTCTTCCGTGCGGGGGCGCTGCGGGGCGCTGTGGGGAAGTGTGTGGCTGCGGCTGGCGATATCTCCTCCCAGACTGACGCACCAAAGGGGCAGGGCCCAGGAATCCATTGTCCTAGGTTCTGCCCCCACCTCCATCCTGCCCAACTGGGTGGTGTCCAACCCTGTGAGCCTCAGTTTCTCAAAACTGCCCAGATCATTGTAGAAAATCCTTAGTGTGAAGCTTCGTGGCACCTTTACTGGGGTCATAAATTACCAAAGGCCGGTAGCCTTCAACACACCCAGCCACTGGGGCCCCAATGTACCCGAAATCCCTCAGAACTCAGGACCCAGTCCCCGGACCTACACCCTTTGGCTAGCACCCCTCACCCTGTCTTCAGTAAACCCACTTGCTCCTGCTTTCAGCGTCTCCTTGCTGGGACTTGGGGCCCCCTTGATTGGAGGCACCTTTTCCATCTTCTTGGGCTTGGTATCCACACTGCCCTCAGCTGTCAGGGTGAAGTCCTGTAGGGAGTCGGGAGACAAACTGGGTGCTTCTTCGCAGTCTTTCCTAAAAGCGTCCAAGCCCTCCTGGTGGGCTGTATCCCAGTGTATCCCAGACTCTAGGATTGGGGGATTGTGGGCTATAGCCTGAGGACTCATTACTCACATGGGGCCAGTTGCTGAGGTCAGCCCGCCTGGGAGTCACTGCTGATTGTAACAGAGACAGAGTCAAAGTCAGGTCGTGAGGATCCCCAAGCCAATCCCATTCTCCACCCAGCTCTGCAAATAAGCTCAGAGACAGCCAGTGTCTTGCCCAAAGGCACACAGCACCTTAGTGGCAAGATGGAGTTTGAACCTGGCTCTGTGTTCTTCAAGTTCTTTACACACTCTTGAAGCCTGAATGGGGGCCTGAAGCAGGGACTGGGGGGCACTGTTAAGTCATCCTACGTGGGAGGAGCCACCTGGCTTAATAAGAGGACTCAGCCCCAGTGAGTACCTTGCGCCTTATCCTCCCGGGCCCTGCCCTGGTAGGGGTCAGCCAGCACAGAGAGGTCCTCCCCAGCTTGGCAGCTGCCCAGGCCTCCATCCAGTTCCTCCAAGGCCTTAGTCGTCATGGTATTTCTGGGAGATGCAGCATCAGGCTAGGAGAGATCGGGAGGGAAGACCTGCTATGGGTCTGACCTGGGCTCACCTTGTCCTCTCCTGTCTCCCAGCCTCTGCCCTGGTGAATTCACACTCATTCAAGGGTGGTCCCAGCAGCACCCACTCAGGAACTCTCCCTGACCATCCGCTAGCCTTGAGGCGCCTATCCTTGGACACTGCTAGCTCATTGTCCCCAAGCACAGCAGCTGAGGATACCAGGGCCCAGAGAGGGCTAGTACTCGTGCCAGGATGCACAGCGGTGACTCAGAGACACAGCCCAGCCCAGAACCCACTGGCCCCAGCGTTGGCTCATGTTCTCTAAGTCCAGGTTCTATTTTTATCTGGTGTCTCAGACCAGCGGACAGGCGAGTGGGCGGCCCAGTCCTGCCCTTCCTCCTAGACCTCAGCTGTCTTACAGGCTCCTTTGGGACTGTCTTGTACCTCCGATCCTGGCACCCAAACCCCCATCAGACCCCTGGATTCTCGGGGTTCATCCTCAGCAGCTGGGACTGTCCTTGCTCAGGCCCTGAGAGACTAGGACAGTGAGGGAGAACTCCAGGGTCTCCTGACCCCAGAACTAGGCCCCTGCCCACTTGGTGGCCTCTGACCCCATTTGGCAGACAAGGAAATTGAGGTTGGAGAGGGCAGGGGTTGGGGGTGGGTTTGCACAAAGCTTGGAGAGAGAGTCATGTCTGTCTGCTTCCCAAAGCCCTGCTTTATGGGTCCTCCTGCCTCCAGCTGTTACCACAAGTGTGTCCTCAGACCTGGGCAAAGAGTCGACCCTTCCCTGGGGCCCCAAGACTGGGGAGAGAGAAAGAGCCTGCCAGTGGGGGTAGGGCTTGGTGGGGAGGGAAAGCCAGGAGGTGCATGCCCCCAAGAATAGGGGATATCACAGAATTGGGAACCCCGTGGATCTTGGCCACAACCTCTTCATACCCTGGAGACCCCCACATCTGCCCAGTCCTCCCCAAGCCCTACTCACCCAGCAGCCTCCGTGCTGGTGGGCAGGATACAGCCTGGAGAGGTGGCCTCTTGACAGACAGGGACAGATGGCCACAGAGGGCAGGGTGGGCCAATCAGCGCTGGCCACAGAGGACCAACAAGGGAGGAGGGGCTGGTATGAGGCGACTGCCTCTGGGATGTCCACCACTGGAGCAAGCCACACCACCGCTGTGTGTCCCGGAGGTGGGGCTTCATGTCTCTGAACCTCAGAAAAGACTCCGACCACCAAGGGCGGTCACTTTGCTCAATAGGATCCATGCATTAGACAGTTACATAGCACCTGCTGTGAGCTGGGCCCTTGGGAACTCAGGAAATCAGAGAGGGCCTGAGCAGCCCCCATTCCCCACTGCCTGTCAGTGGTTGATTTCTCATAAGTAGATTCCACTCATTGCACTCCCTTATGTGTCCACAGGGTTCTCAGTGGATGACGTTTCATAAGTAGATCCTACTCATGGTGCCCCGTGTGTGTGTCAGAGTAGAACTGTGCCCCACAGAGTTCTCAGTGGGTGATTTTTCATAAGTAGATTCCACTCATGGCATCCCGTGTGTGTCAGAGTAGAACTGTGCCCCACAGGGTTCTCAGTGGATGATTTTTCATAAGTAGATCCCACTCATGGTGCCCCGTGTGTGTGTCAGAGTAGAACTGTGCCCCACAGAGTTCTCAGTGGGTGATTTTTCATAAGTAGA